CCCACCAACATCATTAACTCCAACCAAACCAAAAGCACAACAATGGCTGCCACATGATGCTGCCACATAGGCACCGCCAACAAATTACTGGGCACTAAAATTTCAGGCGTCTAAAAAGGTAGAAAAATTAGGTAGCATTTACAGTAGCGTTGCGCTAATGACCCACCACACAAAGCAAGACACCGAAGACAATAGCCCATTGCAACCAATTTTCCCAATATTTCGCATAACCTTGTAAGCCGTGAGCCATCTGTAATTACGCGTACAATAAATACTTTAATAAGCAACTCTACGCATCATCACGCATTATCTAGTAAATAGTTACCTGAAAAATCTCTTTGCCCATTAATATTAAATTCAGTATAATAACAAAATAGCCCACTGTGCATATATATCCAGGAGCTTCACAATTCGGATTCTTATCACAATTGCGCGCATATACACCAACAATATACATTGTGAAGAGTATTACATAGATAGCATGATAAAAGAGGCTCATCAGAAAGAATTTACGTATACGTCGCCATTTGAGAAAAAGAAAAGTTTCACACAATGGATGCATAAGTAAACGTTTTTGGCCAACTTCGATCAATGACAACAGCAATTCAGTTTCGCCGCGTTCCAATGAAGTAGGCGGCACCAAAAGACTAAAATCCAATTTGATTTCACAATCAACGTCACCGATTTCATGGTCGTTTACTTTAATGGAATTGTCCATTTTGGCCGTAAGTTTCGGTATAATCTCTGGCGTACGTCGTACGATGAATGACAAAGCAGATACATTACCCATCGTACGTGCTGTTATATCAGCACCATGTTCTGTGAAGTACATAAGTAGGAGAGGAGAGGAAAATATTAGTTTCGTTTAAAAATAGAAATTCAAATTATTAGTTTGCTAAATTGAATGCCAGCGGCAACTAGCTAACGTAGTAGTAGAGAACAATGAGGTCCCCTATAGAGCAGATTACCAGTAAGCACTGTGACAAGTAGGTCTATTGTGCCCTCAACTCATCGCAACACCTCGGCTTGCGCTAGAGACTACTTAAATTTCAAAATTTCCTTTACATAGGTCGCTTGACCAGAATCTTAGCATCTGTAAGTAGCCTCTAAGCCTATAATGGCCCGTCAAAATGGTTCAGTTTCTCCTATATGTTTTTTGGTTATACCCTTCTAGTAATGTTTTAGCTTGACGAAGACCAACAACGATACCTTTGATCCCCTAAAGCATTTCGGTAGTCAGTATAAACCTCCCAGTTTTTTTTTAAATTAATTCATCTAACAAAGCAAATATTTGTATCTTATCTTGTCCCAAGGAGCATCAAAGACAAGGAAATTTCATATTTCGATCGCAAATAAGCAATAAATACACTCGAAGATATGAATTTCCTTATTTCGATCGATGGGTTTTAGAAAACATTTCTCTTCTGATACAAGTTTGTCATAGCTCATCCAAAAGGCATACTGCTCTTGCCCTGAAATTAAATCAGAAAATGACCTTCGAACAGAAAGCGAAGGAAGCCTAATAGTTGATTTCCACCAAGCAGTTTATGCCTATTGGAAAAAGCAGATTACAACTCAAAGGCGGCAATTCCTCCTATTAAGTAGAAGAAAACGAGAGGAAAAAAACAATAATTAGGAAATAAACCTTGCCGACTACCCCATGTTAGAATTCGCGGAACTTATTTGAGCTCTTAACTGCAGTTAAGTCTTTGGTGGAAATAGGCTATAACAGTCTATAGGTACTGTGACCATCCGTACTATATTTAAAAGGACAGTCCTTTTTCTCATGATGCTGGCCTTTGACTTTATTTATTTTCCTAAAAGTCTATTTTGTCCTTTATTTCAAGACTTTTCCTTTGAAAGTACTTTTTTTTTGATGCGAAGTCAGAAATTAAGGCATATCTTATAATATGGCCTAGTATTTAGATACAAATTGTGAAGAAATAGCTAGGATTCTTAATCCGCTGGGAATCCTTTATGAAGTGCTTCAGACTGCGTTGTCGTATTAAGGACTAGGTAGGACAGTAGCAGAGAAAATGCTCGATGCTGTTTACCATCTTCTACTGCAACTGCGGTAGAAAGTATTAGAAGGAGACCTTTACGCCTTCGTGTATTTCCATTGAACAATGTCCGTTGATGAAACCAAACTCTGAGCTAACGGACAGACGATCAAGGAGAACTAGAGACTCATATATGTTTACATTAATTCGTCGCACACCGGTGGTTGTCTTCTCCAATAAAAACAGATCTAGTGACGATATGTATGTCTGTAGTTCGTTTGCAGATGGTTTGCTTGATGGCATCTGGCGCAGAATTGAATGACTACAAATAATTTTCTTAGCCCGGCAACCCAGACTACATTATTTACGCATCGCGTGGACGCTTAGAACCATTCGTCCTTGAATTGCTACCTTCGAAGAGGTATTGTTGCACTGCAGAATTAAATCGAAGCCTTCAGAGCATACGTTGATGGAGTATTCTATTACAGGACAGCAGCAGCAGCTTAGGACTAGTTATTCCGAAATAATCGCTGAAGATTGAAATGGATCTAGTGTCTAGCTTTTTTCACTTCATCATTCGCTCATAACGGGGATTCTAGTTATCAAAGTAGGCAGGTAAAACGCTTGTTTGCCTAGTGTCATTTACGCAAGACTGGGGTGTGTAGTTAGAAGGACTGAGGGAGCGTTAGGAGCTTTGCAGTGGTTAGAGGTAAAGGCCACAGTGATTAGCACTCTTTCCATTTTGTTTTTGGACGTATTTTTGGCCAGCATTCGGCACCATACTGTAACTCCGAAGATAAGAATGCGCCTTACGTCAACTGTGACAGCTGATGCATTTTTTTTTCAGCAGGAAAACCGAAATCCGGAATGTATTGACCCTTTTACATCGATAGAAAAATCCCAATCTTAACCACGGCAGAAAGAGCGTCGGAATGGGTTTCAAGAAAGTTCGACAGCTTACGGAAGGTTTTAAGACCGGGTCAAATTCTTACGAGAACAAGAACGACGAAATGGGGACTGATTTCCAGATCTGGCCACACCAATCGATGATGGCCATTGTGAAATACGAAAAGAACAGTGCGGCTCAATATAACAAAGCAACCGAAGACAAGGGTCTGCCACTTGGAAAAGAATATCGGGAGAAAAACCGGCACATACTAACTATTTTTCGATTTCAAAGACGCTTTCGAAAGCACGTTGGTGCGATGTAGTAGAGGACTTCGAAAACTTGTGAACCAGCATTAACGCTAAAGAAATCCATATCAACAAGTGCTACTTTGGACTGAGTATGCAATGAGGATATGAAGTCCCCTCTCATCGTACGAATACAAGGCGCTGAAGCATGTCAACATCCGATGAGGCGGCCCTTGGAGTATTCGAGAGAAAGATTCTGTGGAGGATTTACAGGCCTCGGTGCGTTAGCAACGACGGCATTGTGTAGCGCTGGTTAGGACTTATCGTACGAATGGAAGAAAGAGGTAGCCCTCCTCTGTGTTGGAAAGACCATATGAAGAAGGACTGGGCTTTACTTGGTGTTTCTAATTAGCGCCTGTTAGCAAGAAGATTAACAGACTGGCGTGCATTGTTGGACCCGGCCAAAATCGCTAAAACGGTTACAGAGCCAAAATAGAAAACGATCTAAGCTCCAAAGAAAGGTAAAAATGTGGGAAAATTAACACCTTTACCAGGTTGCTCTGACCACACCTCCGATACTTCGAGTGGTTCTAGGACCCACCATTCCCTAGGCAAAACCATGCGATAATTTGTAAGTTATGATAGGATAGAATGGGTTATAATGCTCTACCAACCCTGCACATCTCCGGGACTTGTTGCAACATTCGTGAGTTTCATCACTCGTGGTTTCTCATTGCTTATCTTCCTTTTCATCATATTCTTCACTCGACGCTTCATGACCCGAACTTACGCTTTCGAACTCAGCTTCCGCAATAATGCGATTTCGAAGTGTGCGACGATTCTTATTAGCGAATTCCCAGAGGAAAACCAATTTTTATGTACGCGCGCATACCAACAACCGATTACGGCTAAAGTTTAATTATTTCCCACCTCACTGATCATGCGAAACTTACCAATAAAAGTGTACACGCAATTGCTGAACTCATTCAAGGCCGCGATATGTAGCGGTGTATAGCCAAAATTATCTGCTTTGTTGACATTGGCACCCGCCTTCAACAAGGCATTGCAACAGTCCAAACTTCGAGATTGCTTAACGATCGCAGCATGTAGAGCTGTGCGGCCATCCCTATAGATTGCATTCACATTGGCGCCATGTTTGATCAGCATGTCAACCGTTTCGATGGATTGTGATAGGCAGGCCAAGTGCAATGGGGTCTGATGGCTGGCATTACGGCAATCGACGTCAGCGCCATGTTCCAACAGCAAACGTACACATTCAACGTAATCATTCTCAGCGGCTGCAGGCGATGGATGAGGGAAAGCAACAGTTACGCGGGAAAGAAACTCGTATCATTGTTTGCTCGGATTTTTTTTTGTTTTGTTTGTGTGAATTGACAGTGAAAATTTGTAGCTGCTAAACAGTGAACACAAAACATACCCAAGTGCAAGGCTGTCAGTTTCCCTTCGCCGAATTGTGAGCGCACATCCGCGCCATGATTCAATAGTAATTCCACACATTTGCTGAAGCCCAGTGCGCAAGCTGTATGCAGCGGCGTTTCCGTGTAGACCTGAGATATGAAAAAATACATACATACATACGTGTTTCATTAGTAGCGAGCGCATAACTGGGAAAATTAGTGTTAAGTTAATGTCGCACTATTTACCTGTGGCGTATTGGGATCCGCGCCATATTTAAGCAATATCTCCACACACTCAACCGCATTGCGATCGATAGCGAAATGCAACGCCGAACGCTTCTCAATGCCAATATTGATGTGCGCTTTCCGTTTCAAAAGCAGCAAAATGCATTCCACGCTCTTAGCGCTACCACCGCGCGGCGGTTCAACGCAATCGAGCGCACAACCAAATTAATTGGGGTGGTGGTGATCGTGATCGTGGTTGCGATCGCATAGGCGCGCGCGCGGGCAATCACAGCAAGGCCGGAGAAAAAAAACGCAAAGAAAATTAAATGAAATTAAATGTTTTCTTTTCCAAACGCGTCAAAAAGTTGTTGGTCTAATTATTTTTGTTTACAACTATTGCGCTGAGGTGTGAATAAAATGCTGAGCGTTGAAATAGCAATGCGCTAACAATACGCGCAGCACTAACAACAACCAATCGGTATGACTAACCTGGCCGCACAATGTAAGGGTGTAACTTCCTTTTTGCCGTCATAGCGATTCGGGTCAGCGCCACGGTCCAATAGCACTTTGGCGAACTGTGCATTGCCGCGGCAGCAAGCAAAATGGAGCGGAGTGCGGCCGCGTATGTCCTTGCAATTCGGATCGGCGGCATACTGATCGAGTAGAGCGAGAATATTCTCCACACAACCATAGATAGAGGCATAGAGTAGCGCTAAATTGGCATCACTGGAGCCGGGTATAAGTTCTAGGGTTAGAATATTTATTTTAGAGGCCCTTTTAATGCAGAATTTTTGTTTGAAATTTTACAAAACATTCAAACCTTGAAAACAATTTGTTTTGACCATTGCAAATATGCCATGCGAATTGGGGACCAGACTAAGTGTTTCCTCGATTTCGTGCTGATCCCAGATCATTTGATGTTGTTGTTGCCACAAGAATATCTCATGCGCCTCATCGCTAAAGACCGCATCACTATTGTTGCTACTCTCGCTGGAGATGCTACGCTTGTCGAAGAAGAGATCGTGTGTTTCATGGCTCTCCGAATTCCATTTGAGATCGTTCTCCTATGAATGTGTGAAGTGTATTTGAGTAATGAAAATTGTATGCTATTCGAAAGCAAATAGTTTTGGTAGGCACTAGATATTCGTGAAAGGATTCAATGGGAAAACAATTGAAATCTTACAATAATGGAAAAGCGAACATTCTCCATGGTCAGTGGTGCTGAAACACGATCAATATATGTGATAAGTTTCTGTTGCAAGGCACTACACTTTCGCTGGAATTCGCTGTTGACGATTGAGTGGACCATGCGCGCGAATTGTAGCGAAAAAAAAAACACTTAAAAGGATCTGTCAATTTTTATAATTTTTTATTAAATTTGCAAAAATACACGTAGAAGCGCTCGATCACAATTGGCATGAACTCATTCGACCACAAATAAACCGCATGCGTATGGACCAACATATGTACACACACACTTTTTTTGCTAACGAACATATGTTCCTGTTTAAATATTTACTGATCTATTCAGCTTTGATTTATGCAGATCGTTACATATGTACAAACAAATACACATATGTGTAGATGTATATCAGAATGTATGGCCAAATCAAATATGCATACATATGCCTATATAAACAAAGGATTTTCAAATGTTTGCACAATTATTTTAAATATTTTTATCAATAATTGAGTGCTGAATTAGTTCTCTTATATTCGCAATATAAACAATTTTACATAGATATGTATGTTTGTATATGAAGTTTTCTCTGAGCTTATTATTCCAGCCCGACACTTTTTCAACCAATTTCCCGAATTTAGCGCAACCGTTCGCACCAAAGTGCTAAGAAAAACTGAGTGTTTACGCTTTTGGCCACATTTTCGAACGCCGATCTTGCATAGCCACTCAGAAACCACTTACAATTTTATACATTTGAATACTTATGTATGTGAGTACTTCTATGCACATGGTACATACTTATTACACCCGCAATGCGTTCGTGCCTTTTACTCTGACATAAATTTGGTCCAGAGAATGGCTGGAACAATAAACAATATTAGTGGGCCATTTCAAGAGAGCTACACATTTTTGGTTGGGCTGCTTATATTGCTTAGCGTCCAATTTCCTAATATCCATTATATATGTACATGTGTAGGATCGCTTGTGATAACTGAAAAATTTTCAATAAGCTACTGGTCAATTTTGAAAACATTTAGCCCAATTTATAAAAGTTTCTTCCTCTTGGTTGGCGATTTCGAGATAAAACGCTAAGTGAAACCAAATCTTTCTCTTCTTGGTGTTTCCATCTGCCAATTGCACCTTTATAATAAAAATTTTTTCAAAAATTTCATCGCCATATTTGGATTTTTATTTTTTTGATCATATCATTACTGTTACGTTTAATTTTTTAAATCATAAAGGATTTATGAAGGCTCATAAAATGTAGTCTTCATTACAACGGTTAAAAATTGAAAAATAACGATTATTTTTTTTTTTATTGAGAAAAGTAAGCAGGCGCCTCACTGTAACTAGAAGTGAAACTTACGTTACAGATCCATTTTATCCCATAACCAATATACATACATATGTACATAGATACATGCATCTGCTTTTGCTTAAGGTTATATTTTTTGCCTTTTTTTATTTAGATCCACCCCTGTTCGTTGTAACTACATTTATGTTATTCTGTTTTCCTTTATCTACATTTGTAGCTTTATACTCTATCAATAACAAAATCGATAGTAACATCCAACAAAACCGATAAAAAAAATTCGAAAACGAAATCGACGACAAATTCGATAGAAAAATCGATTAAAAATATCGATAACAAAATCGATAAAAATGTCGATAACAAAATCGAAAACAATATCGATAACAAAATCGGTAAATAATCGATAGTAAAACCTATAACCAAAATCGATTAGAAAATCGATAAAATATTGGTAAAAATATTTATTAAAAAAAATTTATAAAAAATATCGATAGCAATATCGATAACAAAATCGAAAGCAATATCGATAACAAAATCGATAAATATACGATAGAAAAATCGATACATAATCGTTAGAAAAGCCGACAAATAATCGATAACAAAAGCAATAAAAATGTCGACAACAAAATCGATAACAATATCGATAACAAAAATCGTTTAGAAAAACGTTAAAAACATCGATAAAAATATCGATTATTATATCGACAAGTCTCGAGAATCCCGAAAGTCTCTAAAATCCCAGATTGAGTCTGTGTCTCTATATATGTATCTACATCCTTTTCCCTATAATTACCTGTATTTTAATCTTCCTCTATCTTCATCTCTACTTTTATCGGTATCCCCATCATCTTTTTCTTTATATTTATCTTTGTTTTTACTTTTATGTTTATAATTATCTTCATCTACATACATATTCCTTTGCCCTTATATAAGTAGTGTTTAAATTTACCTTGTTCTTCATTTTTGCCTTTATCTTTACGCATCTTTGATTTTGTTTTATTTTTTCCTTTGCCTTTATCCCTTTCTTTATCTATGTTCGTACTCACCTTTACTTTCATTCTTGTATTGTTCTTTTTCAAAGTGTTATTCGTTATCCTTTTATTTGCAAGTTTTTGTTAAATTAATAACATACATTCAAGAAGCACATGTTTCCGTCTCACCCATTTCCGTTGCACTATTTCCGTTGCACTATTTCCATTGCACCATTTCTGTGTGCAATTTCCGTTGAATTTGCCAATTTACTCCCAACCAACCAACCGCCGCTAAAGCAGTTTCCGAAAAATTGAAATCTAACGATTATCAGAAAATAACGATTTTGCAATGATCTAAAACTATAAAAATCATGGTATTTACATAAGGGTTATTTTCGGTCTTTGGCTATAACAAGCTGGTAGCCATTAAATATTCCACTTTCAGGGCCTTCCCTGCATTATGTTTATAGCCACGGTTACCATTTTGATCGAATTGTAACCATTTTTGCAGTTTTTTACACTGGTGCATAACTTTCAAATTTGGTACATTTTTGAAATCTGGTAAAATGAGATATTTATTACCTGTGCTTCCATCATATATATATCTAGTTAATGGTCAAGCCTACATACATATGTGTAAAGTAGGGCTCGTAAAATTATCCGACTATTCGACTAATCGGTTAACC